TATACAGCATATATGCCTGCAGGCCAGAAGAGGGAAACATAGGGCACCAGATCTCAGTATAGATGGTTGTGAGCCACCATGTGGTTGCTGGGAATTGAACTCAGGACCTCTGGAAGAGCAGTCAGTGCTCTTAACCTCTGAGCCATCTCTCCTCTCCTCTCCTCTCCCCTCCTCTCCCCTCCCTTCCCCTCCTCATCCCCATTCTTCCCCTCCCCCTCCCCCTTGTGAACACAGCATCTCTTTGACATAATGTTTTCATGTCTTTTAGGGGGAAAAAAAAAACCCGGAAGAGGGATTGCTGCATTTGCTGGCTGCTTCTAAATTACTGCTTCCCCTAACTACAGACAGCCTGTTTTCCCTCATGGTAAAAACAGCATTTGGCTAATGAGCGGAGTGACGAGGTCCTCGAGTGAGACCGAGGATATCTGGGGGGCAGAGGAGGATGATATGACAGAAGGTGACCTTGGGTATGGCCTCGGAAGAAGACCTGGCGGTCTTTATGAAGTTCCGTGTTCGACTGCATCTAAGAAAAGGTCAGAGGGGAAGAACTTGAGCCCTCCTCCGCTTCCAAAAAATGGGGAAGAAAGAGGCGAAACCGGGTTCCAGGACTCCAGGAATAAGGACTTGCGGGGTGCATGTGCTCATGGATGCCCAGCGTCCGGCTACAGACGGCAGAGCAGCTCTGGTGAGAACTCGGGGGGCTCTCTCTCCTTCCTACCCTTGGGGGTACTATCAGTGCTCTTACTCGGTGAAACTCGGCAGCTGCCGTAGATTTTCATCTTTATCTCTTTAAGATTATTTAGATTAAATGTATTTATTTATGGGGGTTGGTGCAAGGTATGCCACAGCGTGGAGCCAGTTCTTTCCTCCCACCAAGTGGGTCGCTGGGATGGAACTCATGTGATCAGGCCTGGTGGCAGGTGCTTTTACTCCGAGTCACCTGACTGGCCTGCACCCTACTGTCTTGAAGGAATTGGGGGAGTTCAGAAGTCGCTGATGGTTTATTTTGAGGACGGCAGCAATCATGAAGCTCAGTAGCTAGTCTGCTCTAACACCGTGTTTGTGATCCTGGTAGCTACCTACCTCCTTTCCCTTTTTTGTTATGTAGGTTTATACCCCACCCCATCCCCCCTTACC